CGCCCTCTCCAGGCCCACCTAGCTTTAATCTTCTGCCGGCCTCTCCCTGGGCGGCCTCCTCCATCTCTGCCTTGAGCCTTGGCCTCTTTGTTCCCGGTTCCATCCGGCACCCCAGTGTCCTCCAGCACCTGGACCAGAGCAGCAGTGAGCCGGGGGAAGGACGCTGTGGGCAGGGAGTGGGAGTGGCTGGGAGCAGGGAGGCGGGAGGGCATGGCTCCCACGAGGCAGCAGCGCCCAGTCACGGCCCTGGGCAGGGCAGCGCTGACACTTCAGGCTCTGGCGGTAACTGGCTGCAGCTTCCATCTCATCGCCTTGGGGTCCAGCAAGTTGCTGGCAGGGCCCCAACAGTCCTGCTTTATCTTCAGGCCTGGGCTCCACTGCCTGCGCGCCCCCCACAAGCGGCTCCGTGGTCACTGCCTCTGTAGCCACGGGGGACGTGCCCAGCCTCCGTGCGTGCGGGCCATCGCTTTTGTTCTGACCACCGGATACTCTATTTTTGCCCAGATTCCGAGCACTGCTGCCATCCCAGCACGGGCGCCTGCTCCCGCACCTGTCACACAGGTCTTGACGGTGGGAGTGTTTGGGGTCCACATGGCAAAATCTTACTGGGTATGAACATTTAGTTCTTTTACAACTTTGGCAGGTGATATCCTTCACTTGGTAAGGGTTGTAAGAATTTTGACACATTCTGCAGCGCTGTTTGAAATAAACCTTATTTGTACCCTGGATACACCAAACGAATGCACTCTCCCAGCAGATGTTGCTGTCCTTGCAGTGATGACAGCCCTTTCTCTCCTGCAAGCGCAAGTGCTTTTTGCTTGGCTCTGCACGCGGCAGCGATGTTTCCTGCACCGTGACTATTGCGTCTCTCCGGTCTCCAGCCGTCCCCGCCGCAGGGGCCGCCCCGGCCTCTGCAGCACGGGCTGGGGGGCTGCCTCACCAGTTCGAGCCTCTTGTAGCTCCCGCCCAGCCCTTGGCGGTGGGGACGCCTTCCTTGCTGCCCCCTCATTCTCCCCTGCGTGCTCGCGGGGTCCTCTCCAGGCAGCCGGTGAGGCAGTGCAAACGCAGGGGAGAGCATGCGGCCAAGGAGCGCGGGGGCAGCTGGGACTCCTGGTCCCGGCCCGGCGCAGGGTGTCTACCGCCCAGCATGCACTGTACGGATGGGTCGCATCGCTGGTTCACTTGCACCCCCACATCACGGCAGCTGGGCCTGCAGGGGCCCGGCCCGAAGCCTGCGCTCGTGTGCGACAGGAGCCTGGCAGAGGAGAACGAGGCAGGAGGGTGTTCCCCACCACACAGCTGCCAACCATGGGTGCCCTTGGCGTCCCGCACCTAGGGGAAGAGACAGGAGGGAGCGCACGCCGGATACCCGAGTGCCCCAGCACCTCGTCCCGACTGCAGCCATCTGGGCGGCCCCCATTATTTGATGGGGCTGAGGCAATCTCCAATGGGGTTTCCCAGGAAGAGCCGACTTTTCCCGGCAGTTCTAGATGGACACTGATCATTCCAGCGATACCCTTGTTGACACTTGGTACAAGGACTGCGAGGTTTACTTACAGATAACGGCTGTGCTGCCCTTATAGGTGTAGCAGAGCAATTCCGGACAAGGTGCCCTTACTTCCACAATGAAAACAAATGGCCTTGTTTTTACCTTTTCCTCCAGGCCGTGGGTGAATAACCTGAGTAACAGCTGCGGCCAAAGTAGCCCCCTGTACATATGTGGGGCAATATCTGCACAGATGCGAATCATATCCAGCAATGCGGCCCTCCTTGTGTGGGCTCTTGAAGCCTCTTTGCACCATTTATTTGCATTTTCAAAAGCTAGTTGTGGAACTACTAATTTGCTAGCTTCTGCGTTATTTATAATCTTCTCACTAGCCTGCAATAAGCATGCAATGACATTTTGAAAAGCTTCCTCAGGGCCCTTATGAATAGAAGCCAAATGGAGGGTTGCCTCTCCCTTAGAAGGACGCCCCCTCCAAGCCCTCATGGCAGCCATCTTGGTGTGCTCATACGCCGGCAGTTCAAAGGTCAGTTGATTGTGTGTGGTGGCAAAGGCACCTTCCCCAGTTAGCATATCTTTTGTAATGGCTATTTGTGAATGGCATTCCGAGCTGCCTGGTCAGTGCAGTACTCAAGGAAGTTTCCTTTCCACATCAGATAGTCTCCTGGGCTTAAACGTGCTTTAGCTATTCCTTTCCAATCGTTTGGGGCCATAATCTGTTGTCCTAGAATTTCCAATAAACTCAAGGTAAAGGAAGCAGTACGACCGTAAGTAGCACCTTCTTGTTTTAATTCTTTTAAGGTTTTAAAAGGTATAGCTTCATAACAACATATAACTTGTCCCGGATTTTCAGGGACTTGAACTTCAGTAACAGGGTAGATATGTTGAAAACCCTCCATGGGCTCCCCTGCCCATCTGGCTTCTTTTAATGCTAATTGCAAGGGGGACAGAGAAAATGGCTCTACTCTCTGAGAGGTGGAAGTTCCAACCTGTGATGCAGCAAAATTTCTCTGAGCTGAAAAGGCCGGGATAGCCACCTGTGGCTCAGTCAATTCTACCGAGTGTTGTGAGATAGAGTTCACGGGGAAACACCTTTCTGGTGGAGAAAAGTCCCTTCTGTCCCCCACCACTCCTTCCTTCTTAAAATTGGACCTGGCTAGAGGGCTCAGGCTCTATGGGAGCCATTTCTCCGCCCTCCATGTCCCACTTAGGCTCCAGACTTGATTTTAACATAATGTTCTGGGCCAAATCCCTTATGGTTATAAAACCCCTCCAAACCAACATCCAGAAAATTGAATATAGGAGTCAAACATGCAACAAACACTTCCAGAGACACCTACCCTGGGAGTCTTGAGCCGCTACTTGCACTTCAATATCCCTTTCTCTTTTGGCTTCTTTGAAGCCTATATATTTTCTAGCCCTACAGAACATACATCCCCACGCTTTACACCTGATGTGCCAGTACCATGCACTCCAGCGCTCAATACTAGCTCTCACAAATGCGCTTCCCCACTTCTGTTGCCCGCTCTGGGGAAGTGTACCCACTGCCCACTTATTTTCTCTCACTGGGTGTCCAGTTTGGGTGCCAAAAGTAGGGAAACTCATTGGTCTCTTGTACCCTGGAGAGAAACGGGTGGTGGGTATGAGAAAAACAAAGACAAGAGACAAGAGCTGGGTCAGGTGGAGTTACCTCTTACCTGGTGGGAAGAGGACTGACTTCAACAGTAGGGCCATTTTTTTACACTCCTGCAAAGTTAGTATCAGGAGAGATAATGTTGCCTAGCGACTAAGGACTGTAATTGTCCAGGCAGATGCCTTTTTCAGTACTGAGGTAGCTTGACTGCTTGAGGCACTCTGGCTCTGTCCTGCCCTCACACATGACCAATAACCAGCTCCAGTGGGTCCCCACATTTGCACTGGACTCATAGAATAACATATTGTTAGCTACACAGAGTTGGGACAATCAGTGGGGATAAATGAAAAATGGTCATACGGTGTTCTCGTGACCGGTGTGTAATTGCCCACTGTGATGACTGGTGCAAAGGGTTCTTACAGAACCTGGGAAACGTGTTATACTAAGGGCAGCAGGAAGAAGAGGAGAAAGAAGAATGCTGATGTTGAAATTTTGCCTAGTAGAAAACAAAATAAATATAAAACCCAAGAATTAACCTAATGAATTATTTTTCCTTTGAGTAAGTATTTTCCTTATTATATAAAGCAGACTGCTTGAATAATTAAAGAACGAAGTTCTCAAATCAAGTAATTATATTATTTCCAAATGGATATGTCTTCTTGTTCAGTTGTTTTACATGATTTTTACCAACACCTGTATCCTTCTGAATTTATAGCCAAGCAGTTCTCCTGGAGATCAGCTATAGACAGAACTCCAAAATGAGAGAACAGGAAGATCACGTGGATAACTAGAAAACCATCTTTTCTCCGTTATCTTTGTAATTCACATTTGACAGTGGTAAAAAGCTGTGTTTATGCTGAGAGACTGTGGAGAACACAGAGAATGGAATTAGGATTGGAAACCTTGTCTGCCTTCTTCAGGGCAGAGAACAACCCATTCCTGGGGCTGGGGTTGTCAGCATCAGAGAACCTCCTTCCACAGTGGACAGATGCATTCTTTACCTGTCGTTCAGGAGCTGTGAAGTATGAGTCCTGGCCTCCTTTTGCCACATACTCAAATAACAAGAACTGCAAGCAGTGATACTTCAGCCTCAGGTTGTTAATTAAGCTTGATCAGGGGTCTGGGAGGAAGTCCTGGGTCACCTGTCCTGAGCCTTGCTGAAGCCACTCTACTGCTGCCCAGCCGGCAACACAGTGGTTTCCTGTGGGTGGTGATCTCTCCAGCCCCAGGCTCTGCAGTTTTAGAAATCTGGCTCTTTACTGGCCCCCAGGTGAGCATGCAACCAAGTCCCAGTCCACGAAAACAAGAGGAAGGAGAAATTCCTTGGGAAAAGGAATTCTCTTCTGGGGCCTCTCCTGAGATGCTATAGCTGCCCAGTCCTGTGATCGTGGGTAGGAGGTGGGGCACAGAAAGTGAAGGAATCCCAGAAACACTAATGAACACCTGATACTGTTGAGCTTCAGAAGGACTCCCAGACTTGTTAAGTGAGAAAACAAACTTCTGTGTATTCAAGGTATTCTAACTTGGCCCTAGCTAGAGCTAAAAACATTTTAACTGATATATCCTGCTTAAAAGAAGACAGGAACGATAGCAATGTTCTCACGTCTCTTCTGCCACACGCAGCCCTAAGAGGTCCAGACACTGATGTTACCTCCACTGTCACATGGGTGCTGAGGTCCCAGGGGGTGCCGCACCGCAGGTGGGTGACAGGACTAGGAGCTGAACTGCTCCATGATTTCCATTTTGAGATTTGTTTAGATCAGCTTTTAAAATCTGCTTTTATTTGAAGTGAGGCAAATAGAATGATATCAATGAAATGTCATGGAAGAATGTTCTGGAGTGATAAAATCTAACAGACGTGCCAAGGCTTCTCGGCGGTCCCTCCTCCCTCCAGACTGTGCTTGCGCTGCGTTGTTGTTGGTCTGCCACAGTGATCCTTGGTTTTTCGCTCCACTGCTGCATAATTTTTGGGCATGATGATTTCGGCAGTACAGTGCCCACGCTCAAAGGCACTAAATCTTAGGAGAGCACAGGTGCAGAGAACCTTCCATGCACCCAAGATGTAAGGAAAATTCCTATTGACTTAATGTAAAATACTGTATCATCTCATATACAATTGAACGGAAGGCTGACAAAACAGGAAAAACGCTAAGAAAGATTTACCACCACCATATTTAACCAGGAGATTTTCATTTGGTTTATGACTAGAAAGCAAGAAGCAAAGCAAAGTTGACTTTTCCAACTCTAGGCATATAAGAGCAGATATCACCGACGTGGGAGAACATTATACACTTCAGAAATAAAAATCTAGAGTGAAAGCTGATTTCCTGTGTTCCCAATGGGTCACTACAAGAAGACCAAGTTCTAGAGACCCGAGGCAGAGCCACATGCTGGGCGTGCGTTCATGCGCAGACTGTTGGAAGCACGAGCCAGCCGTGTCACTGCACACTCAGCCGATGGGCTGTAGTTGTCTCTTCTGTTGAACTGTTCAGTCCCCAAGTCCAGTCTCTTTTGACTTTCCCCAGAGCATTTGTTTTTGAATGGCGTTACATTTCTGCCCCATTGTACTTAGACTCCATTCTCTCACCAGTCATTTGATAATAAAATGATATATTTACAGACCAAAGTGTATGTCATTTTGGCTAAAGATTTCCTCCTTTTAGACCTGGTTTACTAATAGGATTTAAAAAAAAAAACTATAATGGAAAAAGACAGATGGAGAGAGCTAATACGGCTGGGAATGTGGAATGCGTTTCCTCAGAAAAATATTGGTAAAACAAGCATACTGGAGGGTAACCTCTTTCAGGATACATGTTCATTTCTGGTAAATTTTTATAATATCCCAGATTACCAAAATCATGCACTAAAGTCTTGAAATAGAGCTGCAATACTAGGCATGTTACGTTAAGGTATTAAGGTACTGTCTTAGTTACTTTCTTGTTGCTGGGACAAAATACTCGCCACCTCAAGTTAAAGAGGAAAAGGTTTATTTAGCTCGCAGTTGGTAGAGTTTTCGGTCCATAGTTGGCTGACTCCCAGGCAGGGCGGCACGGCAAAGGGGCATCACAGAGAAGGAACAGTTTGAGGCAGCGTAGCAGGGAGGGGGGCAGCAGGGGGGCAGCGGAGGAAGAGCCAGTGCATGGCACAGCAGCAGGAAGCAGCATTAGCTTCTTGCTCCATCTTCAGTCCGCCTGAGCTACAAGACTGTCGGTGGTGTCACTCACACCCAGAGCCGACCTTCCCGCTTCAGTAAATCTGTCACCACAACCGGAGCTATGGTAAGCCAATCAGTGGATTAATCCAGTACTGCACACCCATGATCCAGTCATTCCTGAAAGCCCCACCTATGAGACCTTGAAGCTTTGAGGGTTATCTAGATACTAGCCGTAACATGTATCTATCTGGAAGGGTAAATTGAAGTAGATCTGCTCTACTTTCTCTTCTCCAGTAATAGTTTGGGTGTTAAGTATCTCCAAAGGTCCATGGTTAAAAACTTGCTGTTTTCTGATGGCCACACCCTTAAGCAATGGGACCTAGATGGAGCTCTTCAGGTCACTGTGGGCAGCCCCAAAGGGGAAGGTGGGACCCCAGCCCCTTCTTCTTTTTCTGCTTTGCTTCCAAGCCATAAGGTGAGCAGGTCTGATCACCTAGTGCTCCTGCCCTTGCACTCCACTGGAGATCTATAAGCAGTGGGTCCACCTGATCTTGAACTGGAGCTTCTAAAATTGTGGACCAAGGTAGTCTTTGTTTCTTTATAAATGATTGTCTCGGGTGTTTATTACAGTGACAGAAAGCTGACCAATACACCTTCTTACTGAGGTTTGGATGAGCTTGCAAAGTAGTGGTCTTTCGGGCAAGATATCTCATATGCTTGAGCCTACTTTTCATATTAAAAATGATAGGGGCTCATGGTCTCAGAGATTTTGTGACAGTTGTATGAGCTAATGCATGTGAAACACTTTATAGAACATTTAGCGTTCTAAACATTTCATCCATTCCTCCTACACCATCAAACTTACTCATTGTGTGTCACTATTTAGGGAACTACTTACAACTTCCTCTCATCTGTCATAACTATGATGCTTTAGGTTAGTTTAGCTGAAGGAAAGAAAAGCTACTGGTGTCAATCCTGAGAAGCCCGAATGTGCCAGCCTGTGATGGTAAGCAGCTCTTTCTTCTGTGGAGGAAAGTCAGAATCCTCCACAGATTTCCATGAGTTCGTACGGATGATGGGGAAGTGGGAAAGACCTCAGGATCTAGCCATCTCTCCCTCCAGTCCCATTCACTGGCCCGCCATGGCAGTCTGTCTTCTTCTCTGTCCTCAGCCCTGTTTTCACTCCTGAAAGCTCCACTAATAAAAAACTCCTGGGTGAGTAGCCTGATCTTTATTGGACAGAACATTTGGAGAGGGGGAATATGCCAACATAAAACAAGAAAAGTGAAATTAATCTTTAGAAGATTGTTTTAAACTGAGCTGTCTCTCCATCTGTAAATATTTCTCTTTTTCTTCTACTGAATTTCTCTCTAAGACTTCCAAAACACCAATTTGTAACTTTATTCCAAATCACTTGTAAATTCTCATTAATATATTGTGCAGAACATTTTGTTTCTTAATTTTCTCTTTCCAATCCATCACTTAAAAATATCAATATATCTATTGAGGTGCTTTTCAAAATAGCAGACTAGGACAGAGTGCTAAGCAGAAGCATTGAGATCAGAGTTTATCTTTTACAGCTTGAAGCACCATGAGTTGCTTCATGTGTTCCTTCATGTGAGCTTCCCTATGCTCCTAGATGGTACTATTATTATCCTAATTTTATAGATCAGGAATCTGAAGGCAGCCTTATATCTAGTCACTTGTTTCTGTTTTATTAATACTGTGTTAAGGATGAAGGACTACATATAAATTAAATTTAAATAACATTCTGGTCTAAAAACAAGTCAACTGAGATGCTATCCAATCAAAATCAGAAATAATCACTTTCACTGACGGAAAGTAAGTGGAATAAAGGTGTATGTGTGTGTGTGTGTGTGTTTGTTTACCTTTCTCTTCTCTTCACTGATTTCATAGACATACTATAATCACCGACAATATACTTGATCTTATGGCTCATTCGACCTTTGCACTTCTCCATACACTCTTCACTTCAGTTTGATTGCCACAGCCTTGGAGAAAGTTGATGTTTCTGCTTTTATATCTAACAGGAATCCATGAGTCCATGTCAAATATTCGTAGTTAGTTTGTGATAGTGCCAACATTGTTGTTTCTCTCTTCTTTCGGAAAGTCTCAAATTATTTGGGTTTTTTGTTTATTATTTTTTAAATATTTGGGAAAATTCAACATGATTTTGTGGCATAAGGATAAAGAATTTGGAATGTTATGTTCTGATCTTATTACTCTCCTCAAATTCCTAAGCGATGTTGAGCAATTTTTAAAAATTTTTCTCATTCTCTAAAACTTCATTTTAAATTGGGGGTAAGGCCTAGCTTATACAGATAGGAATACACTAAAGGAGAGACTATTTTAATGGGTATTTTAAGAAATTTTGTAATCTGCAAAATTAAAAAATTTTTATGTATATGTTCTAATTATGAATTACTACATGTAAATAGTCTTAATTGAGCTCAGTGTAAGAGGACTTTAATTTATACTCCAAGTAATCTTAATCATAAGAAAAAGTTAAAACAGAAACCATTTTATTTTTGAAATTTTTCATATTCATAAAATAAATATTTTTTTCTAGAAGTTTATCATGAAAAACGATACTCTTAGGAAATATTTTTATTTAATTCAAAATCTGTAAAAATCCATAGTTGTGATGCGGTTGTTATTTTCTCAGTAGTAAGCGTGACCCACCAATGACGTCACACTGGGCCTGAGCATGTCAGTCTCCTCTCCTCAGCCCGCTGTGCAGACAGCTGTTTCCCACCCCGGTCCTCCCACCGTAGTCTTGGTGTAATTGTGTCTAGATCACTGCTCTTTGTTCATATTAGCAGGACTTTCTAAACTCTTCAAAGCCACACCATTCAAGTCTATGCCTACTGTGCCTTTGCTAGTAATCTTTACATGTTCCAGAGAGCTAGTAATCACCTTATTTTTCCTTAATTTTTACATATATGTGATGATGTATAAGAATGTATATATATATTCCAGTGCTCCAGTGATAGTAGAAATTAAAATGGATGCAGCAGAATGAATTTATGGGCCAAACAGTAGAAGGAGGAGGAGGAGGAAGAAAGGAGGAGGAGGAAGGGGAGGCAGAGGGGAAGGAGAAGGGCAGGTTCTCTACCTAGGAACGATGTGCCTCAATGTTTTCGTGTTGCAGTTTTCCCACCAGGATAATGGAAACGGTACAGTCCCCAAGCCCCAAGCTTTGTGAGGGCTGAGCGAGTGCGTACACGTGGAAACTCACTGGCGCGTCCTGCCACGTACAGTGCGTGGCTGGTTCTGATTTCCTGGCCTGTCAATGTGAGGTTCAGACATTTCTCTCCTACCTGCCAACTTGATGCTTCTGCTCCGTTCTCTGGGAGATTTTCTCAATGGAAGCTTCCAACCCATCTATTATTTTTACATCTATTTTTATATCTTTAATTTCCAAGAACTCTTGTTTATCCAGGTTCATACTTTCTTCACATCCCTCGAGGACCTTGATTGTCAAGTTTTCTTCTCTCTGCATAGTTTGTTCCCTAACATCTATCTTCTTTTATCCTCCTTTACTTTCCTTCTAAGAAACATATTCCAAAGGAAAGCCTTCCTTCAAATGTCCGGCAATTCTGATTATCAACTTGTATGTGAGAACAGAGGACCAAAGCACTGACCAGAAGACCGGGTGGGGGGTTGCGGAGAGGAGAAATTACTGACCTTCTGCCTCACAGGAGGGTATCTTGGAAGTTACAAGAATTTCCTGATGAGCTTCCGGTTTCAGAATCTGTACTGTATTCCTTGGTGACAGTCATCTTCCCTTGAAGAAACTCCTCCAGTCTTCCCTGGAGGATAAGAATGACTGTCAGACTTCTGGGAACATTCTTTTCTGAATTTCTTCTGATGGGGCTTGGGGCTGGGCTAAAATTGGATGTGTATATATGTCTAATCATCAATATTTTCCTGAAAGTTACAAAGCAAAACCTTTGCTTGTTTTATGCACCAATTTGTCTAGATTCACTAGAGATGGAGATTTATCTCTCAACTCCTCAGAGAAACTTCATAAAAATTGGGAAACCGGATACAATTTTCATCCCTTATGCTAGTTCCATTTATTGAACTTGTCTGGTTACATAACTGACTTGGCTCCTCAGACTCAGAAGATTAATCCTTGACCCTTAGCTATTTACACGGAAAAAGCTATGCAGCTTTGTGAATGGGAGGGTAGAAAGGAGCTTAACCATAAGCCCTTCCTCTCTGTTCCTTTTGAAATGTTTGCTTCCTTGAAAATAAGCGAGAGGATGAAAATGTTTTGTAGGATGCAAACAATGACCACAGAAGAAGAGAGAGATGGACAGGTTTTTGGTGGCAGTGAGTCTCAACGTAAGTTCCAGTCTTCCTTAGCTTCAAGAAGGACCTTTATATCCTTAGCTACATGTATCAATAAATTATCATTTGTTTCCCTAAAAATCAGTCAAATTATGTTTCTCCTTACTACTCAAAGAATCCTGATGAATCCCCTGAAGAGTCAACAGTTTCCTGGTGCTAAGAACATGAGAGTGATTTTCATCAATATAACTAGAATAAAATTTTTATTTTGCCTCAGAAATTACAGTCATTTAAATAAGTTAATGACTATAATTGACTACTTAAGTATTTTTCCTGTAGAACAAAAAGTGTACCTCAGATACACAGAATACTTCCTGAGAATCTCTACAGAATACATCTGCATTAAAAAGACTTTCCCTCTCAACTTTTCTTCCCTTCTACAAATCCTCATGAATTGAATTTAATGAATAATCTTTCAAGGTTAAATTTCTCTGTAACTCTCTCTTAAGATTTTGGTGCCTGCTTTTCCTTATCTGCAGATATCAAAATAATTTGTCATGAAATTATTAAATTCAGAATTACTACCCAACCAGTAAGGTTGTGTTCATAGTAAGGGGTAACTAAGTAACTCAATTATATAATATATATTTCTAAAATCTCCTAAATATATAATTTTATGAGAAAATTTATGCAGTATTCTTTCTTAAATTAGCAAACTCTCATAACTCTAACACAGTCCCAGTTCCTGAAAATAAAAGTAGTTCGGGTGATACAGTGGTGTAATGTGTGATGCTTTGGGTGCAGGGGCAGAGCGCCGGGGTTTCGGTGGTCTGCTCAGCTGTTCTCAAGCTCTCAGAGGAGGCCCTGCAGGGCAGACCAGTCGCAGGTATCTGGCAGCCCACTCAAGGGGGTCTCAGCAGCGCTCATCCCACCACCTGTCCTTTTCCTCGTGGACACTCAAAATATAGACAGTGGCTCTGTCCTTTCTCTCTTCCGTCTTCTCTCTATCCCCGCCCCCCGCCCCGGGCTTAGGCTCCTGGTTCTTAGAAAAGCTGCTTTAATGGGCTACAAGATCCCCTTCACTGCAATCTTGATCCTTCACGGTTACACTAAATTGAGCCCTTTTTAAGTTACTTAGAAAGACAACCACAAGGAGAAGGACTAAATCTTAAGTGGAGATACAAATAAAATACTAAATATGAGCAAACAGTCAACTTTGTTCTTCCCCAGAAGTGGGGAAGCAGTCTCACAGTGAATGCAGGTAAGAGCTACTTGGGTTCCCCTGAAGGCAGCAGCCCAGAGCTCCCTATTTTCTAGGAAGGAGTGTGCCCTTGGCTTCACGTGGATGTTCTAGTGCACATCCCTTCCGTCTTTTCTCGCCTGTTTGTACTCCGGGAAACCCACCATCAGATATGCAAGTGCTCGCAGCGCACACCTGGGTGTCCTGAAGTGCGTCCCCCCCACTCCTGTGCTCAGTCCTGGGTGCAGATCAGCCATTTCAGTCCCTTTCCCAGACTGCTCCTCTGCGCTGAGGCCCAGGAGACTGAGTTTTTAGATGTTGTGAAGCTCAGGCCTGAGTTTCAGAAATTAATGTTGAAAGTGCCGGGATCTCTGTAAGCCACTGGTGTCTTCAGCAATCTCATCACCGTGCGGCATTGAACAGGAGACGGGAATACACAGCAACCTTCCCAGAAAAATTGCTGTTGTAGGAGCATGATTTAACGCAGGCCAAGTAAGTACATAAATAAAACAAAAACAGCCCTTGGATTTGGGAGAGTATGTGGCTTTTCCATTTTCCACTGATTATACCAACTGACTTCTCTATATCTGAAAAGAAATAACTTAGTAAGAGCTTGTCAAATGCTCTCACTTAGAATTCATGCCATTCGTGAGACATGCATGTGCCGAAGAATTTACCTTTCCACACAGTCCAGTGATGGGAAAGTGACACTAGACAAGCGCATTTTGTAAGAATGGTGCACGTGCTTCCACGCTGGTTACTGACAGAGCCCACAGCTACTGGTGTTTAATTTTAAAATTGTTAGAGCAATTATGGGGCAGAAGGTGTATGCTGAGCTTGAGAATATGACCAAGAATGACTCAGTAAAGACCACATACAAATACACTAAAGAACATGTAAAAAGCGGCTTCCCTGGACAAAGAGAACTAATCTTAGCATTTCATTTTTTGTAACATTCTTAATATGATTTTGTTCTGCAGAAATTCCCCATCCCTAATACTTTAGTGCTTTTTCCTATTTTGGAAAATGCAATTAAGCAAGAGAATGAAATAAAAGATACAGCTATTGTAAAAGAGGAGGACAAATAGTGTAGTTGTTAGGCCGGGCGTGGTGGCACATGCCATAATCCCAGCACCCAGGAGGCTGAGGCAGGAGGATCGTTGTGAGTTTGAGACCAGTCTGGGCTACAAAGTGAGCTCAAGGCCAGCCTGAACTGCATAGTGAGACCCTGTCTCAAAAAGAAAAAAAAAAAAAAAAATAGTGTAGTTGTTTACCCAAAATTCTCAAAAGAAGAAAGCTAACAATGGGAAGCCATTAGTATTCAGTAAGTATACTAGTTTAAAAAGTAAACCAAAAAAGTCAATGACTTTCCTATAATTTGGTTGGAATTATACAGAAAGAAAATTTTCAATTTACAGTATAAATCAACTAACCAAAATCAGAGATTAACTTTTTTTTTGCAATATTGGGGATTAAACACAGAGCCTCAAATATAGCACTGAGCTACATCCCCAGCCCTTTTTTAATTTTTATTTTTGAGACAGGGTCTCCCGAAAATGCCCCAGTTGACCTTGAATTTGCAATCTTCCTGCCTCAGCCTCAAGAGTATCTGGGATTATAGGTTTGCACCACCATATCCAAACCATACTGTGAACTCTTTACAAGAACAAGACAATTCTATACTGCTGAAGATCGAAATATATAGACAGGCATAGCATTTTGTTTTCTAACACTCAAGTTTGAAATGACATCATAAATTCACTGTGACTCCAATTAGCAAAGTGGTCTCATGAAATAGGAAAAAGTAATTTTAAATTTTATTGGCTGATGACTGGATACATCAGATTACTGAAGAAAATCTGAAAGCAAAGAATTACAACATAGACAGTTCTGTCAAATACTGAAACATACTATAAAGTACTTAAAGTAAGATTCTGGAAGAAAGATGGAAAGATAAAAGGCACATATCAGAAAAATCTAAAAATGGATGCAAGAACATTTGGGAATCTAGGATATCTATGGAGGAAAGACTGATTAGTCAATAAATAGTGTTTTGATGACTGGCTAGCCATCTGGAAAATAATTAAGCTAGATTTCTACCTCTCTCATTATACTGAAATAAATTCCAGATGGATAAAAAAGTCTGAACTGAAACCATAAATGTAGTTTAAAGAGGACTTGGATGAATGTTTTTAATAAATTTGGAATAGAAAAGGCCCTTTAAAACTGACACAAGACATACAATTGCAAAGGAAAAGAATGATAATTTTGACTTCATAGAAATGAGAGTTTTCTGTGTATTTAAAAACCAATAATGCAAAAGATTCAACCTGGAAAAAATGAACACGACAAATACAGTAGACAAAAGACTAATGTTTTCAACACATACTTTTAAACCTCTTAAAGATCCATAAAAAGCAAATAATGAAAGCTCAGTAGCACAACCAACAAAGCACTCCAAGTTGGCTTCAGAAAAAGAAACCCTCATTACACAAAATTGTGAGAATACTCAGCCTCACTCGTAATTCTACAAGTGCAAAATAAAAGAGCCTGTGAATTTCTATAAATGTGCTAAGCAAGATTAAAGTGTAATAATACCAAGCATTGCACAAAGAGGCAAATACAAAAACATAATCTAGTGGAAGAAGGTTTTTTGGGAGACTTGGGATCGTTTCTGAAGGGCAATCTGACATTATTTATCCAAGCATAACATCATTGCTACTGAACTAGCAATGGCACTTGATAAATTAAAAAATGTTCAAAATTATGTCCAGAAAGAGTTGACTTTAGCCATAGGTAAAGTTACAGCTATGCTGCTGGTGAAACACTCCTGTGTCAGCTGGTCACAGTTCCTGCACGAACTCCTGCACTTCTCACCCACGGAGCCAGCTACCTGGCCCTCCGTGTCAGCTTTTCTATGACACAACAACTGAAGCATCAGTGCTTGGCCTGCCAGGGCACTCTCT